TTAAAAAACACCAAGAGTTGCCCTGGCTGGTGTGACTCAGTTGGCTAAGAGTCATTCAGTGCCCCAAAGGGTTGCTAGATCCATTCCGGGTCAGGGCATGTGCCCAGGTTGTGGGCTCGATCCCCAGTGGGGGCCTGCAGGAGGAGGCAACTAATTGATATTTCTCTCTCTAAAAATCAACAAACTATTCTTTAAAAAAGTAAAAACACCAAGAGTTAGCAGGTTATTTTGGTTACCAAAAAATCCCTCTATTAATCTCGACATAAAAAAACTTAATCATTTTACAGGAAGAAAAAGCCCAAATTCTTATTTTCCACCTTTTATATATCATTCATGTAATATCTTTTCAGTGAATTATTTATTTTTAATGTGTTGTTGTTGTTAATCCTCACCTGAGGGTATTTTTTCCATTGCTTTTCAGAGAGAGTGGAAGGGAGGGGGAGAGAGAGAGAGAAACATCAGTGTGCGAGAGAAACATTGACTGGTTGTCTCCCCTGTGCACCCGACCAGGGGAGAGGAGCAAACCCCAAACCAAGGGGCGTGCCCTTGACTGGGAATGGAACCAGCAACCTTCTGTTGTGCAGGCTGATGCTCTAACCATTGAGAACACCAGCCAGGGCATGACTTGTTTATTAGTATGTACATATACATGTATGTGTTTAGGCACACATAGATACAGAAAAATATAAATAGGTAATAAATTGAAAGCTTTAAAACATAATTAACACCCTAGCTGGTGTGGCTCAGCTGGTTGGAGCACTGTCCCATACACCAAAAGGTGGCGGGTTCCATTCCTGGTCAGGGCACATACCCAGGTTGCAGGTTTGATCCCTGGTCAGGGCACGTGAGGGAGGGAACCAATAAATGTTCCTCCTTCTCTCTCACTCCCTCTCTAAAATCAAAACAACAATACATAATTAACTTATCAGTATATTAAATAAAACAATGTACATATATTAAATTTACTATCTTGATCAATTATAACCCTCTTAATAAACAAATAGAAATATAACCATTATTTTGTATATATATTCTTATTTTGTATTGTACCTCTGTAATTCTTATACATAGTATAGTCAAACATTTATATTAATTATCATATTTAACCAAAGTAACTAACTTTTTTCCCAGAAACAAGGGAAAACTAGAGGACAGAAAACCAAGAATTGTTTAGCTATCTTTTTTTCTATGAGCATTCATTTAATACATTTTTCCAAAGAAATATAAATGGCCAACAGGTACATTAAAAGATGCTCAACATCACTAACCATCAGATAAACACAAATCAAACCACAATGGGACATCACCTCACACCTGTTAGAATGGCTGTTATCAAAAAGAGATAAGTGTTGGCAAGGATGTGGAGAAAAGGGAACCCCTGTGCAGTTCAGCCACCTTACAAAACAGTATGGCGGTTCCTCAAAAAATTAAAAATAGAACTACTGTATGACTTAGCAATTCCACTTCTGGGTATATACCTGAAGGAAACAAAATCACCTTCATGTTCATTGCAGCATTATTTACAATAGCCAAGACATGGAGATAAACTAAGTGTCCAACAGATGAATGAATAAAGAAAATGTGATATATAAGCCATAAAAAAACAAAGAGGAAATCCTGCCATTTCTGATGACATGGATGGACCTTGAGGGCATTATGCTAAGTGAAATAAGTCAAACAGAGAAAAATACACTATATCACTTATATGTGGAATCTAAAAAAATTGAACTCAGAAACAGAGAACAGACTGGTGATTGTCAGAGGCGGGGTGGGGGGGAGGGAGAAATGGGCAAAGGTGGTCAAAGGTACAAACTTCCAGTTATATGTAAACTTATATTTATATGTAAACTTCCAATTATAAATAAGTTCTGGGAATGTAATGTACAGCATGGCGACTGCAGAAAAAAGAAAATTAAAAATGATAAAAATGAAATCTATGATAACTTAACTTATAAAATCAATATAAAAATTAAAAAGGTTTAAATTGTTTGAAAATTAACTTTGATCTTTTACAAACCAAAATATCATGCTGGTATTATTTTCCATGGCAAATTTAAAGCCCTAGATCATGTCAAACACTCTTCTTTTTATCTTGGAACTAAGGTCTTATCTTATAACTGTAATACTGAAGCCTATCACACATAAATACACTTTTCAGTGCCCACGGAGAAAACATACATAGTTTAACAATTCTTTAAGACATTTTTAACTGTTTAAGTGGACTGCTTATTCCTAGAGTACACACATAAAATGGAAGTTTTTAATAGTTAATCTTTAAAGTTTTCCAAGAGCGGGAAACAAACAGCAAAAAAAGGTGAGAGGGAGCTACTTTAGAGAAATATGAAATTACCACTTTAAAAATCTAATCAATGATCCCTCTGCTAAGAGAGGAAAAACACTTTGAATGTAGAAAAACAGATTTTGACATATACGTGTACACACAAAAAGTGACATCCCAGCTTATTTTAAAAACTTAGGCACTTGACAATTTAATAGAGCATTTATTAATCTACAAAGTACAGAAATGAAATATTGCCTACACTAAACAAAATAATCTCTTTTTGACAAACAAGACAATCTCTTCATGAGGGTTTCTTCCTCTTTTCTGAGGTACCTCTCAAATAAACAATCTTATTCTTGTCAAAAGTTCCCCCAAATGGTCACTGCAATTCTAAATTGTTTTGAATGAAATTGTATCAGAAAGATAAAGGTACAAACTAGAGTAATAGTGAGACAACATGAAGGAAGCAGATATTTGGCCGCAGATATCTGGCCCAGTTTTAGTTGGCACAAGGATCCATAAGGATGGTGCTGTGCAACCTGGTATCTCTAGAACTCTGCCAAAGGCCAACTGTCATTGATCCGACCAGAGAAAATGTCCTAATTCTAGGCAGAAGGAATGAAACAAAACAGTTTTCAGTGGCACAAAACACCTCCTCCCCCAGTTCTTCAACTCTAGTCTTCCCTCCTGAGACTTCCCTGACAGACATTAAGCTCTTCTCACCACACTTTCTCGTCAACGACGTGTTTCTATCTTATTTCTTTCTTTCTTTCAGGGTTGGGTATCTCAGGACATTCATTGGGATTCTAAGACCTTTTTGCTCAGCTACTCCAGCGACTCCTGACATTCTTTCAGCTCCGTATTACACCAAGCCTGTTCCGGCCTTGGAGTCTTTGTACCGGCCCTTCCTTCTGCTTGGCACTCTCTGCCCTCATACCTCCACCTGGCCACTTCTCAGCTTCAGCTCAGTATCAGCTCCGCAGAGAGGCCCTTCCACCACGGCCTTCCCTACTCACACCCTGCATGTCCTAGCACTGCTGCCTCCTCCCCTGGGAAGCCACCCCGCTTAGCCTTGTTTAAAAGAAGTAACAGCCCTGCCGGGTGTGGCTCAGCCGTTGAGCATCCACCTGGGATCCAGGCGATCAGGGTTCGATTCCCGGTCAGGGCACATGCCTGGGTTGCGGGCTCAACCAATGAATCTCTTGTCATTGATGTTTCTATCTCTCTCTCCCTCTCCTTTCCTCTCTCTGAAATCAATAAAGATATATTAAAAAAAAAAAAAAA